CAAAGTCGCCATATGCCCTGGCGAAAACTTAGCTATAAACTTGTCCGCCAACTCATCCTACGTAGTGATGGAATGGTTGGGAAGCCTTTCAAGCCAGTCCAAAGCTTTCCCTCTAAGTGAGAAAAGGAACAATCTCAATCGCAATGCATCCTCTGACACATTTGTTTGCTTGCTTCCCCAACAGGTATCCATAAAGCCTTTAATATGTTTATATGCATTCTGATGGGGAGCACCTGTGAAATACCCTCGCTGCTCCAATAAGTCAACATCACATTTGTAATTTGAAAATTGCCCGCCCAGATTAGGGATGGGACAATTGCACTTGCGTATCCTTTATTTGGAAGCATGCGAGGAGTCACTCTTGGAGGTGGCGGGGGAGGGTCTGGAACATTATCATTGGCCTGGCAGCCTCTCCTTTGAGCTTGAGGCACTATAGGTACCTCATCATCAATATTATCATCTACCTCCTCCCCCTGAATAGCATTTCCAAGATTATCGTTGTTTGCCATTTTATACCTGAATTAATGACACACACACGTTAGTAACACAGAAGAAAAGAAAAATAAAACACAAAACTAGTAAAATAGATAGCCAAAACCGTTTAGCTCCCCGGCAACGGCGCCAAAATGTGTCGAGCGGTCGATGCAGATTTTACCCGAGAAGGTCGGGATCGAATCCATAGGGAGCTAATATAATGTTTGGAGTTGGATTCCTATCTAATCTAGCAGTGTGTAGTGCTCTTGATTGCACTTCCAATTATTCTTTTGTTTGTTTCCTATTTCTAATTTTATACTAATGATGCATGAAATTAAGCTAAGTAGATATTTTTTTAGGGTTTTCTAAATGGGTAAAGAGGCACTAGGGAAGTGACTTACTCCTAGGTGAATATCTAACGGAATCTAGAACTTAGGGCAATAATGTTATTGTTGGGATCATGATATAGCCAATGCACGAAGATAGTCACTCTATACCTCTCGGTAGTTTGAGTGACTTTTCCCTAATTGGCTTTCTCAAGCCCAATTGGGTGTTCAATTTGTGCAAGCAAAGTTGGCTCAAGTCGGGTATTACTATCTCTAGGTTTAACCCTTTAATTGGGGCTATCAATCTTTTGAATGGACCCCAATTCCTTGTTGGCCTGAATTTCCTCGACTTAAGCTCTCTTTCTCAAGAAGAGCCTAAGTCAAAAAGGTACAATTGGCGTTTGCAACCACCAATTCAACATAAAAAGCACAAATCAGGCCAAATATCAATCACCCATAAACATTTAAGCCCTAAAATAGGAGACCCATAAAATACCCACACTAGGGTTGAGCCACAACCCTAGCTAATGGGTTTAGCTACTCATAATTGAAGAAGAAATCATAGATTGAGATGAAAAATAAACCATAAAAATTAATTACAAGATAAAAGTCTAAGATTAATTGTTAAACAAGCTCTAAATTTACTCTAAAAAGCAAAAACGGTGGTTTCACGTGCTCACGAAACAAAAGATGATCTAAAAATCTGAAAAAGAAGTATTTATACACAGCTAAATTTTTTGGACAAAAATGCCCCTAACGGAGGTACCGCTGACAGCGAAAAATGGACCGCTGCAGCGGTAAGGCTACCCCGTCGCATAAAATCAAGCGCGGACCGCGGTCTTCAACTTTAAGCTCAACTTCAGGCTCTCTGAACCTCTTCTCCGTGGACCGCGGTAAAAGGACCGTTGTCGCGGTGGAGGCACCGTTACCGCATAAACGCATCACGGTCAGCAGTGACTTGAAAAGTTCATAATTGAAACTCTCTAATCTTTGCCACCGTGGACCACAAAATCAAGACTGCCTCAACTGTGGATCCTTCGCGTCCGCAGTGGATTTTCCGCTGTAGCGCTCAATTGACTCAGCTTTGACTTGTGCAGGTTTCACTCCCTTTTGAGCTGGTTTTGACTTTCTTGTCTCTTTTTGACCAAACACTGCAAGCAAGCACAATAAGTTAGCTTTTGGGAATACTTGTATACATTTTTAATACAAAACTCAAGCAAAAAGGAGCATAAAATAGACAAGAATCCCTAGTTATCAGCTGACAAACCACTTTTACCTGAAAAAGAGGTTATATAATCTCCGTATGAATGAAGGTACACTTGTTAATACTCACCTTGATGCATTTAATTCAATTATAATAGACTTGAAGAACGTGGATATCAAAATTGAGAGTGAGGATCAGGCCTTGATTGTGTTATATTCTTTACCACAGTCTTATAATACTTTTGTCGATAGGCTGCTATATATGAAAGACAATATTTTACAGTAAGATGTTACTAATGCACTAAAATATAAAGAGTTGAAAAAGAGATTTCCAGATAGCTGAACTGAAGGTAAGGGTCTTGCGAGTAGAGGAAGAACACAACAAAAGGACTTTAACAGAAAAAAACCAACCACAAGATCGAAGTCTAAAGCAAGGAAGCAGAATTATTATGAGTGCGGGGAGCAAGGTCACTACATGAGAGATTGTCCCAAGCTGAAAGAGAAAAGATGGAAGCAGAAAATAGATAATTCAGAAAATATTGTTGATACTGACAATAATTCTAATGATAGTGATTATGTAAAGGAAGTCTGTGCCATGAGTTCTAGTCATGGGCAGAACTACTGGGTTCTTGATTCTGGTGCTACTTTTCACATGTGTCCACAAAAGAATTTATTTGTAATTTACAAGCAGATGAATGGGATTGTCTACATGGGACATGATAATCCATTACCAGTGGTAATTGTTAACTTCAGATTGAGAATATTTAATGGAATTATCAGAAACATTTAGTGTTGGCATGTTCCTCGGATGAAGAGAAATTTGATTTCTCTTTCAATATTGGATGATCAAGGGTATAAGTTTAACTCCGAGAATAGAATACTTAAAGTGTGTAAAGGCTCCATGGTATTCATGAAGAGTAAACTATATTCTAAATTATATTATTTTCAGGCCAGTGTAGTTGAAGGGGAAGTTGTTGTAGCTTTTGGGAAAAGTAGTCTAAATCAGTCTCAGTTGTGGCACTTGCGACTTGGTCATATGAGTGATAAGTGAACGTCTTTGTTGAGTAAGAAAAATTTGTTGGATGAGTACAAAAATCAAGTTTTGAATTTTTGTGAGTATTGTGTGTTTGGTAAATAGATAAGAGTGAAGTTTAGCAAGAAGGTCGATCACAAGTAGAGACAAGTTAGATTATATACATTCAAACTTGTGGGGTCCAAACAGAGTTCCCTCCAATAGTAGTGTCAGGTATTTTATGACTTTTATTGATAATTACTCAAGGATAGTGTGAGTGTATTTTCTAAAAACAAAAGATGAAACATTTCGACATTTGTTAACTGGAAGACGATGATGAGAGGCAGACGGAAAGAACATAAGCGTTTTCGAATTGACAATGGATTGGAATTTTGTAATTCTGAGTTCAATAATTTCTGCAGCAGAGAGGGCATAGTGAGACACTACACTTTTGTCAGAACACCACGACAGAATGGTATTACATAACATAGTGAACAGAATACTTTGTGATTGGGAAAGAAGCATGCTTTCACACTCACGTGTTAGCTAGCAAGGATTTTTGGGTTAAAGCAATCAATACAGCTTGTTATTTGGTTAACAGATCTTTATCCATAGCTATTGAGTTCAAAACTCCTTTTGAGGTATGGTCTGGTTCGCATGCTGATTATTCAAATTTAAGGATATTTGGTTGTCCTGCTTATACTCATGTGAGGGATGGAAAACTAGAGCCGAGGGCAAAGAAATGTATATTTCTAGGGTATGTAACTGGAGTGAAAGGTGATAGATTGTGGTGTACAGATCAAAAGACTACAGGGCTAATTATTAGTAGGGATGTAACATTCAATGAATCTTCCTCACTGGACAGTCAGAGGGAGAAGGCAATAGCAGAAATAGTTTGCGGTGTCAGTGACTGCATAGAGCTAGAAATTGAATCTCCATTAGGTCAACCCAGTAATTTCAAAGTAAAGAAAGTGGAGGAGATGCAAAATATTGATCAAGATGATAATATTGATGCACCTATGCAACATCAACCATGTAGCATTGTAACAGGCAGAGAGAAGAGAGTGATCAACCGACCGCAAAGATTTGCAAACGTAGTTGATGGAAATCTTTTTGGATATATGAATCCTGTGGGATTTGCTTTGCAGAGACCGTTGATGATTTTGCTTGTTATAGTTACCCAGAAGCTATTCTTAGTACAGAACCGAATTGACATATTAGTGATATGGCTGTAGATATTGAGTCTCTTAACAAGTTTAGGCGTTGCCTAGACTTGGTTGATGTGTGCGAAAATGGATAGAGCTCTTGCGAGGGCTGAGAGCAAGGTAGAGAGATGTTGTTCCTATTGATGAAGAGAATTCAAGTCAAGGAGAGGGTTTATTATTTCGTGGCTTGAATTTTTTTCTTATATTTTTAGAAAACCCATAATTCCTATAGGTTTGGGAAAAGTTATTGCCCTTGTCAAATTGGGAAATCTTTCTCTTATAGGTTTGGGACTATTTGAGATCTATATATAGGGGTTGTAGTTGAGAATTTTAAAGAATGTATTGTAGTTTTCTATTCATAGTGGAAACTGCCCCGAAAATTAGGCTTAACCGAACCTGTTACGCAATATTAGATACACTTTATTATTGAGGAAGTAATATAGATTAAGCCGAATGGCAGAAAAAGACTAGTTGCTCTTTGGGCGGACCCTTCCTACTGAAATCCATAATGTTTTATGACTCGACTATTAAATTTGCTTCGGTCAATATAAATTGAGCATTGGATCATAAATTGCACAACTGGAGAACATCTTTTCAATTTGTCTCTTTTTTCTTTTCTCTAATTTGTAAATATTAAGTTGTTAAAAGTTGATACATTATAGAACAAAGTAGTTAAAATCATACAATAAAACATTTGTTTGTCTCTTTTCTTTCTTTTAATTTGTTGACAAAGTTCTCTCATGGGACTTTTCTCTTAAACAGTTATTGCAAAAACGAACAAAAAAATGTTCAATCTACAATCCACATATCACAGTTCTTACTAGTACATAGATCAAACATATTGAAGCTTTCAAATCCCAAATCCTTATGGAAAATGTTGTCTTACAAGGCAAAATGAAGAAGAAGAAAAAAACCAATAAAACAAATACCCAAACAAACAGGTAACAAAGATGATTTTTATACACTTACAATTAGCAAACACTGGAAAAAGAAGAAAGAAATCAATCAACAAAGTTCAGTTCTTGTCTTTTTCCTAACAGAAATACAACCTCTTTGATGATCTCTAAATATTCTAATCTCAGAACAATCCCTCAAATCCTCAAGACTTATATACTGCTGCTTCACCATTCTTGAGAAATCACAACCAGTATCATTAATCCAAATATAAGGGTGACAAGATTCATCATAATAATAAAGCAAACTCTTCATTCCACTTTCATTATTATTCCCAAATTTATTACCACCTGGCATATAAGCCTTGTATATTTTCTTGGAATTTAGCCTCTTTGATGATCCTGCCTTCAAAGTATGAACTTTCTTCAAGATTGAACCAACCCTTATCTGCAATTCAATTGGTTTATCACTAAAATTCCAAATTCTTGTACCAAAACTAGAGACTTGAGCTTGATCTTTGCACCCATTGAAGCATTTTACAAAAGAAACTAGGCTAAAATTACTGCCACCTTCCATTTCATTATGTGTATGAAAGTTTGGAATTTTTTGGTCACTATGGCTAGCTTTTTAAAGGGTCTAGAGAAAACGAAAATAATCATATATGTGCTGTAACTTTCGGCCAATTGCTATATATTCCAAACTTTCGCTATTAAGTGATTCTGATATTCTTGGATTTGTGGGCCATTGGAAATGTTACTTATTTGGTTAGGCAGTGAGAAATTTTAATTTTATTAGCTGTGAGACTATGACACTTTTTTATTTTTATTTTAAGGAGTAACATGATATGTATAATATGAACAATTTCATAAAGACACCTATATCTTTCAGCGATAGAGAAGTGTCTCTCCACACTTTGAAATTACATACACGGTCGTTTGGTACGATGGATAAGCAAAAATAACTTTGGATAAAAATTTAGTACCGCCATATTTCTTATTTGATTATTAATTCTAAGATTAAAAATTGTACTGGGATAACTTATACATGTTAGATGATAGAATAGTAATCCTAGAATAAATCAGTAAAATTGACAATCCCGGGATTAATACAACATATCAAACAGTCAATAAAAAATAATATTAGGATAACTAATCCCAACATAACTTATCTTCAAACCAAACAATTATAAGTTTGTCAACTAAATCATAACTTCTCCTTTTTATGCAGCCGAATAAACTCAATATCTCGGTTAATTGAGGAATAAAACAAGAAAACAAAAGTGTATACATAATAGAAAAAGAATATATAGCTGCTAATTAACTAAGTAAACCATAACCATTTATTACCATTTATCATACAATCATTTAACTATACCTAATCCTAAACTATTTTGAGGTCAACTATAAAGACTCATTTATATGCATTATGCTCTATTCAGAACAATTTCATTTCAATATAAAATATTGTATCTTTTAATTCAAATTAAGGATGCTATAAAACTAGAACTTCTCTAAGTCTCACACGTATCCTTACATACAAATCTCAAGCTAGATTTAAAAATGACAGGCTTAAAAAAAAAAATCCAACCTTCATTTGTATGGTAGCACATAATTTGCACAATAACAAGATAAAGGACATTCTTGGTAGCAACTGTCTTTAGGGTCAGAAAAGCAAGAAAAGAAGAATGTTGGGGACAGTAAGTATTTTTATAGTGAATTATTGATTAAGCCTCAAATGATTTTGCTTTATCTATCATCATTGTGCTTGTTCTTTTTTAATCTTTTACTTTAATTATAAGCTTCTTAGAAGCACCTTTAATCTCTTTCTTTCGAAACTTCAGTGCCAGGCAAAGAATTTTCCAAATATTTAGAATAGCATAACGTGTAAAGTTGTTATCATGGGAGCAGGAGATCACAGGTTCAAGTAATGGAAATAGCCTTTTTCAGAAATACAGGATAAGGCGGCATACATAGACTCTTATAGTCCGACCCTTCCTCGGACCTCACGCATAACGAAAGCTTAGTGCACCGGGCTGCCTTTTATTTGAACCTACCAGCCATTTGGTGGTAAAAGTAGTCCTAAAAGGTTAGGCCACACCAAAACCTTTGTACCCTTGTTATGATGTTTGTTGCAGTACAAAGAGGGGAAAATGTAGTGGTGGTAGTTAAAGTGTGACTTTGTATTTCCATATGGTACTATTGATAAAATGCACTATGCCCAACATAAGAACATGAAATCCTTTTCAAAATGCATTTGTGAATGTCCCAATGTTTTTTGCAATATCACATGTTTGAATCCCAGTGGATCTTATCTAGTTGAAGACAATTCAAGGGCAACCATAGTTGGTGCCACTTAACAGAGAGTTCAGTGACTTTCTATAATACTCTAGCACAGTGAGCGATTTTTACGTTATAAAAAAATATAGTGCCATAAAGTAAAAGTTGGATGACTATCCATGAACCATCCCGAAATGAAATGTGCGTTTAAGTGGCACGAGTTCAGGCCCAACCATAGTCACCTCCAGTAGTTCCTCATTCTATATATGGTCCCAAAAGTGACGGTAAAAAAAAACATCACTCTCAGTTCCTGTAATTCAACTATGTATAATTTTTACAATCTAGATTACCTTATTTACATTCTGTATAAACAGATTATCCAAGCAAACTGGGGCAAGAACTCATGAACTATGTGCACAACTGAGCAACCAGATCAATTGGTTGTCTTAGTTTGCTATGAGAAGCAAATGCTTTATCAAATCCAATCCAAGAACATGATAAAGGGTTCTTTAGTACTAAGAAGTAGACAAAGGGTACATTAAGGAAACTATTTCCCGAGTTTATTACACTTGCTAGCTCGTGGCAATCCAAGACTCGGTAGACTTAAAAAGTAGCCTAAACAAACTAAAGAATTCACTTCTATCCAAACTACATGGATTTGTATAATCTGCCTGTACAAATGAAGACTATGAAATGCATCACCAAAAGGATGCCAAAACCATCAAGAAGAAATAACACCTATAGCAGTAGCATGAGTATCAAATTTACAAAGATAAGATGGGTCCTATTTCTCATGATTGTCTTGAGCAGAATCTATCTTGATTATAAGCGGCTGGCCGAGATGGGCAGTAGGATCAGCCACCGTTGGTAGCTCTGGCGATGGCAATATGTCATCAATGTCTTCATTTTCAGCCAATGCTTTTTCTAAAGCAGCCTTGGCAACTCTTGTGACACAAATTATTAAAAACACTGCAATACATGCAAACAAGGTTATTCTTGGGGATATTGAAACACTATGTTCAAATGTGTTGGCATTTCATCGACAAGCAATATCACTCTATCCTAACAACATTTGCAAATACATTACCAACGTAATTCTTAAGTATATGTTAATATTGAGAGACACTTTCACAATGGAACAAGCTAGGGGAGCAACCTCTATCCTAACATCATTGTCAAATAGTCTAAACAGGTAATACTTTTCTGGTAAAGAACTCAACAGGTAATACTTAAGTACACAACTATATATTAATATTCCGAGAGACTTTCACGACAGAAAAGCTGGAGGGAGCAAAAGATGTTTGGTGTGAAAATATTTTGGCAAGGATGAATAGTTTTAGAATAGCTGTAGCTACGAATAGTACTTTTTGGGGATAAATAGTTATGTATATGCTATACTTGAGTGTCAGTCTTTTGTTTGACAAATTAGGTTATGCTAAATGCTAACAGCATCACAAGAGAGTATGCTCAATTTTTAAGAGAGTTATGAGCTAAACTCATTAAGCATTTTCTCAAATTAATTAAGTTGGAGTCAAATTAAAAGTTCACATTATGCAAGGTTTCAAGTTAAAGAGCCTCTCAGTAAAAAGGATTTGACTCGTGATCTTCACTTTCTAACAACATAAGAACATCTTTTTTTACAGTGATTTTGCATATAAAGATCTTTTTTGTTCAGTTACAAAAAAATAAAAGCAATTTATAAAGTATTAGAGACTCACCAGAGACCAATAGGCCCAATATGATCATAGCCTGGCCACAAAGAAAACAAAAAGAAAAAGCAGCTGTCAAAAAATCTATAGAAACAAACAAGGATATGGAATATTTGGTCCTCAATATCATCCAGAAACCTAAAATATGGAAAATAGTTATAAAAAAAATAAAAATAAAAAAATTAAAAGGGATAGGTCCAGTTCTTTTAAACTGATCGGTTGGTTTAGCCTGCATGATGAAAGTGGAGCTAATACAATCATCCATTTTATGGATCAGGGTCCATTGCAAAGTAGGGCTACAACGATTACTAGGGCTGATAAATAGTGGATTGGGCTAAATTTGCATACCTAGAAAAAATTACATACTTATGAAGGTTTCATTACTAGTTGCCGACAACGGACTTGTTTTTCGCATTTACGTAATATGTTTTCTTTTTCTTTTTGATCAAGTATTTATAGGCATTCATGTGATCTATTTATTCATTTTGAAAAAATAAAACATGCACCCACTAAAGAATTAGTAACTGTAGGTTAGAGTTCAATTAGTGAGGTGGAGTAATACGTTCAGCTGAACATATATTATGCAATATACTTGTTGCCTTCATATGAAAATACATAATTGGTGAATGTTACGACAAATGTAGAGTGGACATCCATATGCAAGAAACTATTAGGACGAATTCAATTTTTGAGTGAGTTCCGTCAGTGTATTATACACTATCAAGTCACCTTTATCTGTTGTCGCAGGTAGCTTGTCTTATTTACAAGATTATACCACATTTTAAGGAGGCTTACCAATATCCTTTGGATGACCTAATAGTATGAAAAAATCATTACGTTGATGGTGTATAACTTAAACTCTTTTTGGAACACTGACCAATGAATGAAAAAAGAATTCAAAAATAAGGCCAAAATGTTATTTGAATAAACAATATGAATGTAGAAAATGAGCACTTGTCTAACAATGCTCACTTGAAGCTCAGAAGCACTAAATAAACCGCTTGTCCATTTTGTAGAATAAGCCTAAAAATGGTAACTAAACTCGGCATATTACTAAGCCAATCCATGCAAGTTTGGCCAATTTAAGAAGCAATTAACTTCTCTCCGGAAGTAGTTTTGACTTTTCTTTTTACCAAAAATACTCTTAACAAAATATAATATATACCAAAATAACCTTACTTATCTTAAACTTAATACTTAGGATATTAATGTACAAGTACTTCTTATTTTTAGGATAGCTTTCTAATATATAGTGAATTCAGGGGTAACTGCTTTTATATTTGTTGAATAATTTTTAAAATCATTTTAAAAGAATTAAAGTAGTTTTCATTTTTATTTTCATATTTTGCCTAAATAAAATGAAAAGATTTAATTATTGTCTTTAATAATAAATTTTTGAGATTATTTATTTACTATACTATCAACTATTAAGTAAATCTCTTCATGTCCTTATTCGTAATTTGATACTTAAAAGCACTTTTTGAAAAGCTTGGTCAAACACAAATTATTATTCAAAAGTGTTTTTCAGATTGATTAGCCAAAGACAAATTGCTTCTCTCCAAAAATACTTTTTCCAAACGCACTTTTGCAAAAGGCACTTTTCAAAGAAGCTGATTTTTCCAGCTTGGCCAAACAGGCTACTAGTCTGAATCCCACATAGTTGTTATACTTTAAATGGATCTTTTACTTTAATCTATTCTGTTACTCCCTCGAGTTCAATTCTTACTTTCCTTTAAATATGTTAAAAAGGGATGTCATATTTCTTTATTTAAAAAGTCCTTAATTCTAACATTCCCATTTTACCCTTGATGATACACTCTTATAGAAATGACGTGGCATGCTTAAGATCACAAGGTTCAAAGTACTCCCTCCGTTCCAATTTATGTGAACCTGTTTGACTTGGCACGGAGTTTAAGAAAAAATGAAGACTTTTGGAATTTGTGATCCTAAACAAGTCAGAAAGGGGTCCAGAGTATTTGTGTGGTTATAAAAGTTTCTCATTAAGGGTAAACTTGAAAATTTAAGCTAAATTGTTTCTAAATTTAGAAAGGGGTCATTCTTTTTGGAACGGACCAAAAAAAAAATAGGTTCACATAAACTGTAACGTAGGGAGTATATTTTTGGTATGTTATACATCTTTAGCTTAAGACGACATTCAAAAAGTTTCTTTACATTTTTAAAATTCATGCTCAATCAAACTAAGACACATAGAATTAAATTTAGGGAGTATTAGCTAAAGTAGCATGTAATCCGGGATAGAGACAAATTTATCCATGTGATTTTACGTCTATCCCATCCTATTTAGCACCTTCAATCACCACACTGTCACATACCTAAGAATCGGCGCATTTGAAGATCTACTAGGATGGCCAAATCACCTCAAATGACATTCTTTTATTTTATCTTTTGTGTGCTACTTGCATTCTCTACTAAATGTGATAATTTCTTATCTGGTCTAATTTTGTATAACTGTATATCAACCTTAATATTCGCATGTCTACAACAATCATTAAACTACTATAACAGAATACAACTTGTTTCCACTCTCATCTCAATGATTGTGCAAGAAATTGTTCGATTTAGTATAAATTGCCTATACATAATCACTGATTTTACACTAATAGCCCGTTTGGCCAAGCTGCAAAAATCAGCTTATTTTGAGAAGTGTTTTTTTTCAAAAGTACTTTTGGTGAGAAGCAGTTTGTGTTTGGCTAATTAGTTTGAAAAGCACTTCTGAGTAGCAATTAGTGTTTGGCCAGGCTTTAAAAAACTGCTTCTAAGTGTATTTTTCTCAAAAGTGTTTCTCAAAAAAGTGCTTTTGGAGAGAAGCTACTTTTTTCTGCTTCGCCAAAACTGCGTCTGCTTCTCCTCAAAAGCACTTTTTTTTCCTTCCAGAAGCTTGGCCAAACACCTCAAATTGATCAAAAAAAAAAGCACTTTTGGCCAAAAATAAGCTTGGCCAAACAGGCTATAACTAATGTTACCTAGTACATAGATCACTCCAATTCGTGGAACGATAATGAGTTTCACAATTAGCTACCCACTTTGGATTTTCAATTTCTTAGCAAGCATTCATTAGTTTATCAGTAACCGTATAATAAAATCTTATGTCTCCATAACTTCACAAAAATAGTCAAGTGGTACTCACATTTTACCACTTCCAACAAGACATAGTATGTCGAGAGTGTTGTGTCATTATCAACTATTGGTTAGATGGGCAAAGAAAATCACATCCATCCAACCAAATCCTTTGGAAACTACTTCATAAATGACTTGATGGTAGTTTGGAATTTAAATACGCATACAACCTTGGTCGCTTATTTTAATTTTCCCTTGTCCCCCAAAGGTTTCTTTTTCCAGCTTGTGCACGACCAATTTACTAGTAACCTTGTTAGCTCCTATCTCCCACCAATACAGGTACCGAATAACTCTTACCACCAAGACTTAGGTAGATAGGAATAGTTCACCGAATTCGCCTCTACAAGGATTTGAACCTTGGTTCCAAGGTCGTCACTCCAACTCTTTGATTGCTAGAACACCCTTGGGGGTTCCTTGCCCCAAAAGTTTATCCTGGTGTGGTAGCAAAAAAAAAATACCAAAATTCCTTACGTTAACTAATCATTTGTCCTATATGACTGCAGAATACTACTATTCACTTTGAGGCACAAAAGACCAGTTTCCAATATATGAACATGACTAAATTACTATTAGGCATTAGCACAGGATTTGTTAAATGTTATATAGCACAGATAACCACTTAGCTCTTACCCAGCGGGTTTTCGAAAATTCACCCCATCCATGAGTAACATCAGAAATATCTTTCAGAGTTGTGCCGACATACACCAGGGCAAAAGTTATTGGCTGCAAGGAAAAGAAATAGATTCATCAGTATAATATGGAAAAGATTAACTCATAACTAAAGGACCAGTTTCCTAACATATCAACCAGTAATCAAAGCGACATGGCTGAGAAAGGATGCCTGGTGGAATTTCAAGAGTTATTGAAAAGATCAAGGCATTCAGTTGATCCTACTATACCAAAAATGGATTTTTGGTCAAGGTCATTTCACATGGATAGCATCTGCACCGAGTTAAACACAGAAACCAATGGAAAACCCTCTCCCAAGAGGAAGGACTAAGGATGTCCCCGCATATAATATAAAGGGGTTGTATAGAGCCATCCAATTCAAACCTGGCACATATGCATGCAACCTTTACGTCATAGCCAAATTTGCTAATATCCCATTTTACATGGGTCGTTACAGGTCATCACCAGAGGCGTATGCATGTTGACGGATATGGGTTCACGTGAACCATACTCCTCTCCCTAAACCATGTATAACAATGGTATATTTCTTCAGAATTATTTAAATATATGTGCGTGAACCCATGCTCGAAGACTCTTATGATGCAATTATTATTGGGTGCACCTCTACAAGTGAAATTGGCGGTTCAATTTCCACTCTGAACGGTTTTATTTTCGGCATGGAGTATAGATATATATATATGTGTGAAAATTACTAAAATTTCAAAAAGAATATAATTTTGAACCTATAATTTCAAAAGTGTAGTGGGTTCATGATAAAAGACTAAAGTTAAACCCGTCAAATGTAAATTCTAGATCCACCTCTTCACTACAGTGCACCCACCCTCTTGAAATCCCGGATCCGCCTCTAGTCATCACGGTTTAGGTTTTTGGTGGCTGTATAACTTGGTTTCTCTAAATCTAGTGCTAAACATTTGCTTTTAAACAATACCCTCATTGAATTTATTCCGGCAGGGATGGGGTGAGGTTGCCCACTCCATTCCACTAACTCTTTTGACATTGCATTCGAGAAACCACTTTGTTCTGAATCAAGCTAGGAAAGACACCTCTTTACAAGGACATGAAAATAGTTCTTGTAAAAAGACATCAACGACACACCACGACCATATCTATATCACATGGCAAGCCATGAAAGAGACTTTGACCTAGAGGCAACTGGGAGGGGGGTGTATAGGTAGGTAGGTAGGTATATATATAGAGAGAGAGAGTAAAACTTACCATCATTCCCAACCATGAAGCCAACATGTATTCCCAAATTGAAACTGGTGTCACCGATAAAAGGTAGTTCAACATATTAAATGGAAGCAGAGGAACAAGCCGGAGCAGCAAAACAATCTGTCAAATCAGAGTAAATCAATTTGCATCCTTACTTCTGCTCTTTCTGGAAATTAATATCCACATTACTGACACACTTCTTAGCCAAAATGACAATCTGAAGATGTCATGACTATTAAAAGGACCTTTTCAAGCATTTCATGAAAGACACACAAACCTTAAAGCCAGATTTCCGAATTGCAATTGCAACTGCACGAAACTGTGGATAATCCTTCAACTTGGAAATGACAAATGACCTCCCAATCTGTCGAAATGTCAGTCAAAATGTCAAAATGTCCTGAAAAATCTACGGCCTTGAACCTCAGGTAGTCCATTTTTTGTTATACCACTAAAGTACCAATCAGAGCTCATTGAAATGGACTATGGGTGAAATCATGTTGTTCTAAGCAATACCTCAAGTGAATACATTTCTAACTGCACCAACAAAATATCCCTCTCCGGAACAGAAGAACTCACCGTTCTACCGAGAAGAAATGCTGCGGCAGCACCAATGGTAGCACCAATAGAATCAGCAATAAAACCCACAGGCAAGCCAAATAGATAACCACCACCTAGCTGAAAACAGGAGCCATGTAGAGTTCAGATTCAAATTATAACATCTAGATCCATTAAATTATTACTTTGTGACATGAAGTAATTAGCCAAATATCATTGATAACTAAGTCCATGATCCATGAGAAGCAGAGACAGATTGGTCAATATGTGCTATAAAACAATTTTGAACATCTGACTAAAGAAATTGGGGGTTGGGAGGGGCACATGACTTAAACAACAAACACCATAAATTTTACCGTAAGAACTGATGCTGGAACTGCCAATACCGTTAGAGGAATGTATGCAACAGCCCTGTAAGACAGAAAACAACATGACCAAAAGAACAGCAGCATAAATCTCCAGTGTTGATTGCAATATCCTATCTATAGGGGCATTTTGGACCAAAAAAAAATATAATAACTAATGCAAAATGAGAAGAGCGGTATCCCAAAGGTGTTTGCGTTATGATTAAAGTGTGAATGGAAAAACCCACCAGGAAGATTACTCATGACAACGTGGAAGGGCATTTGGGGATACACACTAATTTAAGATTTTCAGCACTTATTCTGCTTCAGCTAGGCATAAAGGGCTTAAACAACAGATAGGCAGCAGGGGTCTTTATAGTGCTTTAAGGTAGCAACCAATTTTTTATTTGGTGACTCTTTTTCTCTGAAACAACGAATAGCAGCTCCCATGTTTCAGCAGTTGCGGCAACATTATTTCGGGGTTTTTGGGAGGCGAAACAAGCTGCTCATAGCTAAGCTTCAAAGGAAATCAAAGCTCAAAACGTTACACAACCCCTATGCCATGGATTTCTTAGATTGAGCAAGAATCTCCAAGAACACCAAAAATCTTCAAGTTAAGGTAACTTCAACAAGGTAAATTCTTAACTTTTTCAATTATAATGATGGAATAAGTATTATTAGTGTGTTCTTGAGCTTGAAACACTATTTAATTTATGGATTAAGCTAACCTAGAGTCTTGAGTTTAAGGAATTGCAGGGTTAGTTGAAGGAGAAGATAATATGATTTGGGCTAAGTAATGAGTTGAGTAATGACTTCAAGGACATAAGTAATTCCATGTGTTGAATTTATAAACTCGAAGTTTGTAATTTATTAAGAGACCGAAGTTGGATGGTTTGTAGCCAATTTGTGAGCCCAGAATGAGTTTTATGAGAATTATTTGGTCAAGTACAGATAGAACTCATACATATGTGTAGATTGAATTGTATTGAACGTTTGGGATGTAGTGGACCATTTGAGAAGTTGCTAATTGTGCGAGAGGCCAAGGTATGGTAAGACTTGACCTTCTAAATGTGATGTTCCAACTTTCATGCTTTCAAAGTATTTGATAAAATTCATAAACGAACATTTTGTCATCAAGTGCTTGTGGGAATGAAAGGGTACTTGATTCACCATCTTTTACAGAAAGCTTGAATGATAACCACGCGACCTTATGTTAAATGTTGAAATGATATGTTCTAATGCATATGCCACTTTAAATTGCCATGAATAATGAATGTCGCATGTGTTAAGAATTAATGTACTTACTTGAAAGCCTTAAAATGTTTTCATGCCCATTATGGTTCATTTGATTTAAAATTATTATGTGATGCCATTTGGCTAGTTATTGTGTGTTGTTATGACATGTGAAGGCTACAAGCCTTGAGGTGACCCAAAAAGAGAGGGCCAGGCTAACGTGAGAATACATTGATGACCACAAGCCTTGAGGTGACCCAAGTGGAGGGTCAAGCCAATGTAAGAAGGTAAAAGTTTAATGTCCATAAGCCTAGAGGTGGCATGAAAGGAGGGTCGGGCTAATGTACATGAAAAGATAAAGCCCCCACAGTAATGCGTTTACGTTTTACCTGTCTTTATGATGATAAATGTTTATGACAAATGAAATGTGTTAAATGAATATTCTTGAACATTATTTCATGAGTTTACTTCAATGTTTTACGTCATGTTTTCATAAAGGCGTATCCCAACATTTCGGCTTGTCGATGATACATACTGGCATTATATTCAGGTCATTCAAGGCTACCCATTTACCTTTCTTGTTTCAGATATTGGTACGGTCGAGGAGGGTACTACATTCTAGAGTTTAGCATCCTCCTTCCACAGATTTTGGTGAGCCACACCCCTACTCCGGTGTTGGCTAGGTTGTGCTTATCATTCTTTGTCACGAGGTATTTCCCTAGGAGTCATAAGTATTCTTTTGTTACTCTAGCGGCTCATGACTAGAGTGGTCATATGTATTCTTTTGTTACTCTGGCGGCTCACAACTAAACTAGACATATGTATTCTTTTGTGACCTAGCGGCTCACTACTAGACTAGTCATATTTATGCATTTTTTACTCTAGCGCCTCACAACTAGACTAGACTTGTGGGACCTATTCTTTTGGTATGTATATATGTCGACATTCCCAAGATGTAGAACTTTATGATTCATGCGGATAGCATGGCCTTATGTGGAACTATGTGTTTACTGTTTTCGATTTATAATTGTTAAAGCATCTAGGTGATGGTACGGGGGTGCCCAAATCCCCATATGTATATACTTTTCATGAATTATGTTATAGTGTTGATTCTTCTCAGCAGATATGGGTAGCCCTATGGCGGTCACGGTTTCTCTTTGAATTAGGGGCGTGACATAAAGTAAGAAAATTTATTTCATCCAGATGAGGAAAAACCCTTATATAATTTTCTTTTTAGTTAAATCTAGGGAAAGACCTTGTATAAACAACAAAAAGATCATGTTCTATACAAAAGCAATGCTTAGAAAAATATTCAGCAATCACCAATAATTGTAGGAACACCCTGCAAATATTGGATATGATGAAAAGATCTTGAAATGGATTGATGAGTTCCCTATCAGATGCAAGATAATCACAGTACTTGTCCTTCTAATTAGAACAAGAATTAGCATGCATCCAAATTTTACAAGGTTTTCCAAGGGGCAACTTCCTTGAATCATCTAGGAATGAATATCTTTTTACCTTTTACCTTGATTTTTCCTTTTTGGAGAAAAACACAAACACATCAGCAGGGTTGCACAAAAAAGTAACTTCCTGATAGTACCCAACAATAATAACAATGTCTAACATAATGCTTTTAATCCATGCATTCACATTTCACAATGTGTACAGAGAACAGTGTGAGGAGCCTAAGCAACATAAACAATATCAGCCCTTTAACTCAACGCCAAACGGATGACAATAGGACAGTAATAAATGAGGATGAGCATTGAAAGAACAAAACTGAACTTCTATAATGTCTAAACAAAGGACGAGCTTCACGTTAATAAGGAGACAAATTAAGGGAGGACCCTATAAGATTTGCTCCCCCCCCCCCCCCCCCCCCCAAAACCCCCCCAACCACAAAAAAGGAACAAAAACATAGCCCAACTATGCGACGGTTGGATCGGGGATATACCAGACTCTACATGTTCCATGTTCTTAGAGCACTCACATACAGCTGAACATAATGCCTACAGGGCAATAGTACTAATCACTATTTTTTTATAACTGAGAAATCCCTGAGGGCCAGCGACGCATGGTTCGAGACTACCCTTCTCCACTTAAATACCAGGCTTTTGTCTGCGGTAGGGTTCAAACCATGACTTGCGCCTAAACCTTACATCAAAAGCTACCCTGTTATCACTAGACCAAAGCCCTGGGGGCTACTTTCTCGATTTATAACTATACTATTTATGTCCCCCGCATGGCCATTCTATGAAGTGCGCCAATTTTGACTGCTTTGGAATACCCTTGCAAATTAACAAGAATACCTCAATTTTGCATGCATATCTGTTCCCACCTTGTCAAATAACTCAAATCACTCAACTTAATCAAATGTAGGGAATGATTTAACATGATCACATTAAATATTTATGTATAAAAAGCAACTTACAGAACAAGAGGACCCCAAGGACCAAGATCTTGCTCAATCCATATCAAGAAATTTTTCAGCATCTGCACAAAAAAAGTAAAATAAAAAAATGCAACTTCACAGCCCCATGGAGAGATAAATAACTTGAGTCGACGAGGCCCCATAGACGTGTTTCTAAGCTATCCTTATCATGCACCAGAAGTATCCAGCTTATCGATAGAATTTCACAGAAACGACAACCAAAAAGTGAGCTCCACTCGATTATTCATCCATCTAAAAATTATTCTTGAAGTTAGGATCCAAGAATCCAGTCCTATCACAAAAGTATTCAGGAGTCACATCATGTGGATCACACGTTATGAACGCATATGATAGGATAACACAGTCAACCCCAACACATTATGAACGTTTATCATATATGATCAGGTAATACAATCAATTCAACTTGGAATGCACTGGTAAGTCGACATGAATTGCACACAGCAATGACTCTAATGGACGTCCAACTACACCTTTGTCCTTCAGACTGTGGAATAAGCTCTCGTGTTTTCCTCACAGCTCGAGTAAAACATATCTATGAAAGAAGCTAATAGCATTTGCCTAGAACCAAACACCATCCCAAGCCAAAGATAATAAACCCAGAGGTGAGAGAAGATAAAAACTTGCCAACACAACCTCTCTACTTGAAACGATCCATGCAACCAAGTAAATCACACTCAGACAAGGATGATCATCTTAACAAAACAGCAAAAAGACCACCTCAAACCCAAATTAGTTTGGGTTGGCCATATGAATGTTCTATATCCATTCCACTCAATTTGGGCTTGTTTCATTTCAAATATTTAATAATTCATAAATTAAGTTATTCTCTAAATCTCACACTAATACCCTACACTGACATACAAATCTCTGGCAAAACTAAAAGACTCTTAGCAAATCAATAACGAATTTGCAAAATGTAAAAAAGCAAATTGGGAACAAATGAATCAATCCTCCTCCATAAATAGTCTATACACAAATGTCAATTGCAGATACTTTCACATCCCTAACAAAAGTCAGAAATCAAGAATAACCAAGCAATGTAAGCGTTACTAAAGAAAAACCCAGATCAAGAAATCGTCTCTCAACCAAAAGGGGTGAATAATTTTATAAGAAAAAATAATAATAAAAGGAAAACCCAGGTGAGTCAAAATGAAGAATTACCAAAGAAATGAATTTGTTACCAAAAACCCAGATCAAATTAATCATTTTATCAACCAAAAGGAGTTTAAAATAAAATAAAAATAAGAAAACCCAAATGATANGAAAACAAACATCAATTTGAAACTTTTGGAAGGAAAAAAACTAAACCAACTCATATGTGGGGAAATATGTTTTTGATTTTGACAAAGAGATGTAGTATTAGACATTCATGGGGTATCTTTTTCCTCAAAGTACCCGTTAAAAATGATATGGGGGGTCAAATAGTTTATTTTAATTTAACTATCACTCAAGCTAAGTAATTTGATTTGCATTATGGGATAGATTCTGTTCTATTTCATGAATGATCTTTTTTTCCTTTTAGCTTTTGACTTATGTAATGTAATTCACTCGCATGTAAACTATCGTATAATCAAAATTATACTAGTACTTTATTATTTTATCAAAGAGATAATAACTTTGTTAGTCCATCAATAATTAGTAAACTAGAGAATTTGGCCGCGCTTCGCGAGGTTATATAAAAGAATCATAATAAATTTTATGATTTTATAATAAAACTAAATTCAGTCTAATCAAATAAACAACTAAAAAGATAGAAATATAATATAAGAAGTCATGGTCTACTCTTGAGATAACCCCTAGAGTAAAAATTACAAAGAATCATCCTCAAGGTTGATTACATACATATGTGTGTGCGGATGTTTTTCAAATATTTTTTCCTAGTTTATAATATTTTACTTTTTAGAACTGCGGTTAATTATTTAAATTGTACAATGGTTAGTTTACTTTGTCGTTTAATAGACATACATATTTATCTAGATAAATATATCCTGGCGAAATAATTTTTCTTCTACCCATTTGATATATGTATTGTTTAAATCCTTAACTAGTATTAGTACCCGTGCGGATGCGCGAACACTAATTATGTCAAATATTTAAGTTATTTGAATTGTATGTAAATAATCTTAAAATTTATACTTTCTCAGTAAGTATAGATAATTATTGGATATTAACTACATGAAAAAAAATTAACCATTTCTTCTATTTTTCTTTTTTGATATCATTCTTGCCGGTGTCATTGGATCCTAAAAATAGTCACGAAGTAAAATAATAACTGCAAAACAATCAATTATTGAGACAATGAATGACTCTTTGGATGAGACTTAACTCTTTTACTACTACTTGAACTCTTATTTGGTGTGTTGATATCTCTTAAAAAATATTTCTTTCTTAAATTTTAGTTTCTAAAACATTATTTTTCAATAGTAATTATTTTTATAATAATGTAATTGAAAATATTATTCTTAATTCAAAACTCATTTTAGTTGGCTATCTAAAAATATAAAAAATTCTTTAGGTAGTGATTTTTTTTTACTCCATTTTGATATTTGACATTAACCATATTAAATATCTGAGTTATTTGAATTATATGTAAATAACCTTAACATTTAAACCTTCTAAATAATTATGGATAATTGTCAGATATTAATTAAGAAACAGTACATGAAAAAAAAATAACATTTTCTTCATTCTCGTAGTGATAATTTTATTTTTACAATATTCTTTTAGGTGTAATTGGACCCTAAAAATAGCCACAAAGTGAAATAATAACTCATATTTATGGCAAAGCACAAAGGTTAACACGATATAAACGATTCTTTGATTACGACATGACTCTAATACTACGACTTGAACTCTTATTTGGTATGATTTTATCTTTCAAAAACTATTTCTATTTTGAAATTTCCATTTCTAAAACTTTATATATTTTAATAATGATTATCTTTATAATGATGCAAGTGAAGATATTATCTTTAATTTAAAATTTACTTTAATCGGCTATCTAAAAATTTAAATGATTCTTTGGCCTGATTTATTTCAGTATGACTCCACATTAAGTTTATCAATATCTCTAGCCCCAGAATTTGAATTTTTAATACCCTATATATACAAAAGTTTTGTTCTTTGAATCATTAAATGTTAAATTAGTTGATTATTATTATAAAATATTGCATATATTGTCTTAAAATTGTCAAGTAGTTTATTTTTCGATACCATACTTGGCTTAACCTCAATGCAAACTACTCAAATTGCATTCCAATTCAAATTCGAATATCATATCAGTTTGTTAGTAATAGAGAATTTTTTAAAAACGACACATAATGTAAATTAAAAAAAAATATTTTAAGATATCGTTATATTATAATCTATGTATTTGAGTTGAAACGAAAATATTTAAAATCGATGAGATTAACTTTCAAATATTTTTTACTCAACAAAGATGAAACATAAGAAGAAATTTGCTGTCATTTTTTATTTCTAGTTTTAACATTTTTTAATATTTATTTCTTTTATCTTATTTTTATGTCATTATTTCTTTTGTTACAAAAAATTATTTTATTTTATTATAAAAGGATAAATTTTAATAAAAATTGTCTACATATGAACTTTCATTATATTTTTAATTAAATAAACAACCAAAAAGAGAGAAATATAATTTAAGAAGTCATGGTCTACTCTTGAGANTTGTTTAATATACATATATATTTATCTAGATAAATATATCTTGGCGAAATAATTTTTCTTCTACCCATTTGATATATGTATTGTTTAAATCCTTAATTAGAGAGTTGAATATTATTTTGCGAAAGGTTTCTCCATTGTTCTTTATTTCCTTGTTCCCTCTTCCTTCCTTCCTTGTTCATTTCTTCCCTCTTTTTGTTCTTTTGTACATTTTCACCCACTAACCACTACTTCATCTAGAACTTTTGAAAGTGTTACTTTTTGTAAAATAATCAAGTCAATTCCTCTTTTACTTCCTCTTAATTTTCTGCGAAACAATAATAGATTCTCTTTTTTCTTGAAATAGCTCCTCCGAACAATCATAAATGCAACCATTTCATTTTCGAATATATTCAGCAATAATTTTTGTGGCAATTTTAATTGCCACCTATTGTCATTATTACAATCATTTCACTCTTCCTTTTGGACAGAAGAAAACATACACTTATAGAAAATTGACATGGAAAAGAAAAAAAATAGAAATAAAGTATACAAATGTTCGTATCACTGCATATCTCTAAATGAACTCTTTTTTTTAATACTATAACCTCATTTTTACTTTTTAATGAGGCATATGAAGCACAAAACCTTCATAATTATATAGTAATACACAAGTAAGTTGTATGCATTTATTATACGTTTCAAAATGCAACTGCAATAAAGCAGAATTGTTCACTGAAATTAACTTCATTTTCAAGAAAATCATATTATCTATAAAAATACTCACTACAGATATTAGTGTCATTCCCTTACAAGAATATAAATAACGTAAGAATCATTATATAATATAATTATGAGTGTGCTTTGAAAAACTGAACTTCTGTAGAGATCAAAGATTAAAGAGTCCCTTAAAAAGATAGAGTAAGTCCATATCAGAGAAATTTAGATGGAAAGAAAGAAGCCAAAAAGAAGAACCATATTAAGAGAAAATTTGAAAACTTTATTTTCATGCAGCCATTTAAAGTACGAATGTGAAAGCTCATGTTCCAAACCATATTCTTTACGTTCACATTCTGTTGGGCGTTACGTTATTTCCATTCTTCAAAAGCACCACTTTGAAATTCTTCCCATCTCAATGAGTTTCTGTTTCTTCCAGCACTAAAGTAGTTGCTTTGTTTCTCCTTTTGGGAATCAAGCCAACGTACATCTTTTAATGGAAAGGAGAAGTGGAGAAGTAATATGAGTAGATTGAGGATAAGGGAATAAACTTGGCTGAAAAGCCATTGTTGGAAGCATGTGTATATCGAACTGACGTGATGTGCAACCTTTAGTAAAAGACAATTTCTGTTTACACATTTTGAATTGTTGCACAACTATATTTGTTATTTATAACTGCAGTGATTGCGAGACTCCATAAATGAGGAATATGGATGGTTGAAACGGTAACATCCATTCATTAGACAGTTTGTTTTATTTATTAATTGACATGAAGAGACACGACTTTTGGGCTTTTTAAAGCTAAATAAATAAAGTAAAAATCGAGAAAGTATGAAAAAGCCCAAGAGAAAATAAATAAATATGATTCTTGGCGTCACGTCATCTCTTCCATCCCTTTTTTATAGATATATAGATTCTAATTTAGTTTTTGTGTATCTGATTAGGTATTGGTAACCAAACTTTGCCACGAAGGAGATAATTGAAAAGAGGATTTTTCAATCGGATAATGGGTTATTGTTCAAGGATTGGGTTTGTCAAATGAATTGTGTATTTTTATTGTAAAATTTTCAGGTGACGTCCAGTTTTGCACCACCTATTGAATGTGTTTTCACTTTTAAATAAAAGTTTAACTGATACCCAATTTGGTAACTTTAGAGACGTACATTTTTCTCTTCCTCTTCGTTGCTACTTTTTTCTTCTTTATACTTAGGGTTTCTTTTTTTAGTTGCAAAATGAGTTTGTTAAATTTGTTGTTGTTTTGATAATTTGATGATTGAAATTTGTTCTTTATGATATTTGAAAGCTATGTTTCAAATTTGAGCTCACATTTGGCCGTTGAATCGTGTGTTGGATTGTTGAAATTTGAATAACAAGTTTATATTGTCACACCTCCTTTTTACACCCCGAGAGGTATATAAAGGAGTTTTTCCACTTTAAGTGACATTATTCAAAATGAAATTATTTTATTTTATTTCTCAGAGTCGCCACTTGGAATATTTATTGGTGTCCCAAATCACTGGTTTATTTTAAATCCCAAATCGAGGAAAATTTGACTTTTCTTTTGAAGTCTGCGAACCAGAAATTCTAAGTAAAGAAATTTTGTTAACCCGGGAGAAGGTGTTAGGCATTCCCGAGTTCCGTGGTTCTACCATGGTCGCTTAAACTATTACAATTGGCTTATTATCTGATTTTAATACATGTTTTAACCTATAGTATATTTTAACTTATTAAACCGCTTTTAATTATTTTTAGGAAGATTCAACATTATTTAAAACACGCCTTTGGATCACGCCACATGAAATGCACCCGCGATCCGCGACATATTTTATTTAACGTTGTTAGGATTTGGATTTGGATCACATGAAATGCACACCCGAATTTAAGGAAATTAGTTATTAAAATGATGCGACTAAAGCAACTACGCATTTTTAACTTTGCGAGGGTCATGAAAAATTTAGTAATGGCACACCTCGAGCTATATGAACTAAATTAAATTAGAGGTCTATTAATAACAGTTTTATCATTAAGAAGGTTTGATCGAAGTTGCGCAGACGCATACTCCGAGTTAGTTTTTAGAATCGTAATTATGTCACGCGAACGTATACAAAATCACCGTGATAGATTCAACATGCCTAAAGCTCAAGAGAAAAGAATTCATCTATGCTATTGTCTTACGCCAAACAATCACAAAAAGATCAAATCTTCCACAGATTAAATAGATTCAACCGCTAAACAATTACAAACAGAGATCATAACTTCAACACATTAAACGTATCCAAAACAAAACTATTACTACTATCAGTGCCTCAACCAAATACCAAGTTCTTCCTAAACTACTGACAAACAGAAAATGACATAAATCAATTTGCGCAAATTCCGAACAGAAAAAGAAGGAAAGAACGAAAAATGATAAATAAATAGAACAAAAAAAAAACTCAAACACTCTATATATATTCACAAAGACCACATTAGCAGCTTTCACAACAATATCTTTGAATTGCATATGATCCCAAGCATCTGGAGAATGATTCATGACAGTAGTGGAGCGTTATCAAATTCATCATGTTGGATATACCAATATATGAGTTCCTTCCAGTGTTGCTGCTCATCACAGGCACGAATAAGCCAACAGAAACATTCAAATTTTATCTTTACTCAATATCTCAAATTTCATCTACTGAAGCATATACCACTTTTAAAATCACACCTTCGTGGGAGAATTAAGCACAACCTCAAGTGAAATAATACCAAACCAAGTATTCAAACAAAATAGTAGAGAAAAACAAAACCGAAGAAGAAGCAGTAATAAAATAACTAATCAGAACATGTAAAATAATTCCAACCAAAACGAACGGATTACAAATTCAAGAACTTACATATAATCTGAAAGAAGATCGATCTTTTACAGTCGCAACAATTACTGAAAACGCTGACCAGATGACATCCTCGAACTGCAGGACCAGAGCTTCGCCGGAAACCTCAACGGAATTACGACCAGACCTCGAAACTCGCCAGATCTCTCGTGTAATAAGCTCTAGCTGTGGTGGAAATGGTCGCTGATTTCAGTTGTTAGATGAAGAAGGAGTTAGCGCTAGAAGGGTGGTCTTTTGTTCTCTGCTATGGCTGCTTCTTCTGGCAAGTTTGGACTGAGCCGTTGCTGGTTGGGAAGAAGAACAGGGAGATGCGTGTGGAGAAGGAGATCGAGTAGCTCCTCTGTATTATTATCGGCGCCGCCTCATCTCTTAGCCTTAGAGATCTCTAGGTTAGCTCTTCATTGAAGAAGAAGAATGGGGGGTCGTTTGTGGTGGGTTCTGTGAAGAAGACCAGGTCAGGGGTGGGTTTCTAAATTTTGTGTTCTTTTCTTCTAACTTTTTCAGAGAAGCGGTGGATCTCAACGTTTTTTTTATAGGTTTTTAGGTGTAGGTCACTATTTAGGCATTAGGTACTATTGTACAGGTGTAGAGATTAGGTTAGGGGTATGGTTCTAGTAATTATAGGCTTGGGAATTATTGATTAGGTCCAAAAATTAGGCCTAAATATGGATTGCTCGAGTCCAAGTTTTATTCTTTCTCCGCGAACGAGACTAAAATACTACCTTATTTATTAATTAATTTTACTTAAATAAAATAACTACTAAAATAAGATTGACCATTAAAATAAAACTATTTTTTTGTATTTTCAAAATATCGTACTAAAAGATAAAAAAAAAATAGAAAAATCATTATAAAATTAAGATAACATTCCTAGAATTATTTTTGTACTTTTGAATTTAGAAGATAGGGGTGTTTAAAATCGAATCGAAACCGAAAACCGAACTGAAACCGAAACTTAATGGCTTATTGGTATCGGGTTAACGGTTTATCGATTTATCGGTTTGGGAGCGGATTATTCAATTTTCTTAACGGATAATCCGTTAACCCATTAAGAATATATAAATATATATATATTTATCCATATATATTAAATAATCAAAAACCTTTCTTCCATTTCCGGTACTCTATCACTTTATTTGATTTTTAACACAAATCTTGTTAACGTGATTGGATACTGGGAAGTTGTAAAATGTTACTGTTGTCCGCTCTTGAGTGTTAACTGTTTCCTTTTTTTGATTATGGCTTTTCAGTTTTCATCAAAGAAGAAATGCAGAAGGTGGCGCTCACCAGGGAGCTTATGGCATTTTCACCTTTGTATGTGTAGTTCCACTTTCGTGATAGAAGCATAATGTCAACTATAGTGACTGCTCTATCATCTTGACTGTTCTGCTTCATCTTTCAGTAACAATGCTTTCTGTTGATGGGATTAAACTGGTCTTCAACTCTTCTTATTGCCTCAAGACAGTAGTATTTATCGATCTCTACTTCGT